ATAGTCATAAAAGGGTTTGTCTGTGATGGGCAGAATCCAAACAGAGCAAAGGCAAGTAAAGATGTCGTATGCTAAGGACAATCCCAACATGGCCTTGCCAGTTGAAAAAGAGGGTTAACTTGAGATATCATTGCCAAGGCGAGTCAAGGAAGGGGAATATATCTCTTCTTGGTGGGGGATACCGATAAATGCGGGTATATTCGTCTGGATTGAGTCTAGATTTGACGATGAACAGGACACTGCGATCAGAAGAGTGACCTTGTGCGCCTCATCATCATTTTGGGTTACGCATGGAATTGAATTGGCACTTGGGCATGAGAGTCTGCTCACGAAACCGTTAAGAATAGCTAAGGTAGTTGTTGTAAAGTGGGCAAGAGGAATGGAGAGGAGCAAATGTCCATCCATATAGAGGTCAGAAGCGCCAAGGAGTTTACATTCCTTTCAGCCCCTTTACGCGTCGTCCTGCCCGAGTTTCTCGTGGAGGAGTTTTTTGGAGGACGAGCAAGGAGAGATGCAGCAGTGGAAGCCGCCTTGACGGTACGAGGGTGGGGGTATGAGCGTTACATGTGCGAGATAACCCTCTAGTCAAGGGCTCATGAATATGGTCAATATTGTTGATGCTTATGCCAGTTCCCATGAGCCAGATGAAAGGGTTGAAAATTGGGACGAGGTTCGGGCAGCAACATGCCGATAAAGAGTACCTCCATATTACCAGGAGCGCCCATCATTTGACCTAAGATTTTGAAGGACTCATGTATGCCTAGCTTGTTGTTAGGTGCGACTACAATGACAAATGGCAGTCGCGACAACTCATACTTATGATCTATAGCTTTTTTCAAACCATTTGTCTACATGGGCTGCATTGCGCTTATTGTGCCCTCAAAGCTAGTGCAGGGATAGTGTAACAGGTGAGAGGCAGAGGGGAGAGAGAGAGAGAGAGAGAGAGAGAGAGAGAGAGAGAGAGAGAGAGAGAGAGAGAGAGAGAGAGAGAGAGAGAGAGAGAGAGAG